TCCCCAAGCCTCAATTCCCACAGGGAGTGATGAAGAGGGCCAGATGATACCTGCATATGAAATGGGTTGTATTTCAGGAGAGGAATTTCGAGTTTAGGGAACCCAAATCTCTTAAGACAGGTACTTGTTGAGCCTGACGTTTGCTCCGGAAGGAGACATCTTCATTATATTAGACAGCAAGCATTCTTGCCCTTTGCTCCGGAGGGAAACACTATCCCTGACTTCTAAGGCTGTGTGCTATATAAACATTCTTGAAAAGATAGGGCAGAACAAAGTGTAGTCCATGCTTCACTTGTGAGACAAGCAGATATGTGAGAGACTCATGAAGAATGGGAAGAATTTCTTCCAACAGAGACAGATGTCTACCAGGAAAGAGATTGCAGTCTCTTCTTCTAGCCAGTTATTCCCCATTTTTAGAAGAGTTTCTCTTGGTCCATGTCCTCCCCACCACTTCCACCAGGCTGACAATCCCCAACTGCCTTTCATTATCTTGACACTCAGACTTATTATGTAGACTGAGAAAGGATGTCAGGCATCAGTTATTTCAGAGCCAGTTCTGTGGCTGCTATGCAATCTTGAGCCTAATTCTCAGGCAACAAGAAAAGTCCCCATTCTGTTACAAATGAACCGTATTGCTCAGTGTGTGGACACTCAGTTGAGCTGTATGCTCAATCAGTATTTCCTAGGAAATAATGCAAGCTGGCAGCAGAAATGTGATAACATTTCACAGCCACACAAATTTCTATGTGCAGCCTAGATGTGTATTACTGGAACTTGGCAGCAGATGCCATATGAACAAGTCTCACAACAATCTTAGATGGAGAAGTTCTTTTGAGAATGTACCAGATTCCACATAATATTATGCAACCTCTGAGGCAAAGAAGACTTACAAGTGGATTCAGCAAATGACACATATTCTTTTTGTCAATGACATCTCAAAGTTAATAGGCAAGTCATGAATATTTGCAATACTGCAACCAATTAGTCCTTTATTGCAACGAATGAAGGATTAATATTTAAAATATAGAGTAAAAGTCCCCTACATACAAACGAGTTCCATTCAGAGAGCACATTTGTAAGTCCAATTTGTTCATAAGTCCAACAAAGTTAGCCTAGGTACTCAACTAGCCAATCAGCTATATAGTACTATACTGTAATAGGGTTATAATACTTTTCACACAAATAATACATAAAAAACAAACACAAAAGATCAAACACATAGTATGCTATGGTTCTCATTACCATCATATTATGGTGCTTTATTATTTAAATTATATTTTGGAAATTGTGTTTAATACAAATATGAGAAATTAATATTCACTCATGTGCTACAAAAGTGGAATTTAAAAAAATAGGATAGCTATAAAGTACAATTTAGAAAATCCTAAATTTGGAGGCATGTAATAAATAAAGCCAAATATCAACTTAAAATTTATTTTAGCCGATTATTTTCATTCTTCCTAAGCTATGTATTTATGCATGCATGCATGCATGTGTGTATGCATGAAGATTTGTAAGTAAATATGCATTTCATCAGAGCTGGTTATAAGAGTTTAAATGTCACAGCCTTCCAAGTTCACTCTCTTGGAAAGGCAACAGTAACAATGAATCAGCTTATTGAGGTCCCTTTTCAGAAATAATTTATCATATTCATAAAGGATAGGTTGACATTGTTATGATTTTTGTGCAGAATGGAAGAGGAAGAACAAGAATGGAAAGTTCTCACTGATTCTGCAAAATCCTGCTAATCCTCTAGTTATCTTTATGCCCCATCCTCTCACATATTATCTTTCCAATCCAATTATTTCACTTTAGGAACTAGGGCTGTTTTCCTTATGAATGTTAGCCATATTAAAGTAGTCAAATAAACAGTACAATGGTCCCAGAAGTATTCTGGCTTTTAAAATTTATTAATAGAGTTACACTATGATCCCACGTGGTATAAATTCATTTCATATAAGACAAACCGTTACTGTGGTATTCTACAACTGTTATGTCCTATCACCGATTATATAAAGTATGGAATCGGAGCAGTGGGGTTTACAGAGTTTACAATAGTTTATTCAATAGTTATCAGATCTGTACAACTCTGAAAAAGTAATAACTCTAATAAGTGAAAATTTCATAAAAAAACCCTATTATTTTGAACACTGCAATTGTAATACTACTACTACTAACTAATGTGTTTAGTATTTTTAAATGTGTCTCATGGTACACTTTAAATTGGGGGATGCAGTTTTCTTGGGCAGAATAAGAAGTTGTTCTTTCCTTTGTACTATTTTATGCTTTGATGTCCGAGTAAAGAAAGAAATTTAGGGGTTGTGCTCAGTTCTGTGCTTGTGGCTAGAAAATGGAATCATGGGGCAAGGTACTGGGCACACACACACATACACACACACACACTTTGAGGCAATGCTTCTGCTTGTCAACAGAAATAGCTTTCTCTTGCATTCTGTAAACATCCTTAGGACAGGCCAATGTTCACTTTTAGAACCTTATATTACTTTGAAATGAGAGTAAATTAAAGAATGTAAGCGATGATATTAACCCAAATAGACTGTGCACCTGTATTATAAACAATAGTGGTGGGTTGACTTCTAAAATTTACTATTATGTGGTATTCTTGTTATACTTTCCTTGGTGCAAAGATTAAGTAAAGTTAACTTTTCACCCACTGAAGAAAGACTCTATGATTTGTGTTGGAAGAAAACAGGGTGACAAAGAAGATGAGTATGTCAAAAAAAAATTTGTAATACTTTTTAATACTGTATATGTTGCCAGTTTTTTTAAAAAATTAACCGTTAAATCAGTCACTGTTTGCACTTAGGAGTCATACTCATTTTTCTCTTGCCACTTTAGAATTGAGGCTGACCTAGTTCCCCAAATCAAAACTGAAGTAGACACAGTGGTTGGCTTAGAGTGGGGATTTTCTCTCTGTGGTCAAATATTCATGGGGTTCCCACACAAGTCTTTAGTTTTATAAAGCATGTAGATAGAGCTTGATGTGAAGCTAGATTTCTCTTGTTCCTCCTTAAAATAAAGAAGGAAAATGATAGTGTTCACCTGAGCCTACTGTAGCAACAGTAGTTAAGTAATTATGTCTCTTACATCCTTTCCCTGATATACTTCTCAGGGGCCATTCGTACCTTACACCAGTGGTAATGAACAGAGAATCATTTACTGTTTCCTGAGCAGAAGCTGAATGATGATTTATAGGACTGTTTTGAGACCTTGTTTCTCTGCTGCCTTACCAGACCAGAAGGGCAACATCTGTCTACTAGACCAGGAAAGTAGCATCTATCTATTAAATAAGAAAGTAGCATGTGTTGACCAGTCCAGGAGAGTAGCATCTACCAGATCAGGAGGGTATGACCTGCCTACTAGATCAAGAGGATGGTATTTGTCTACTAGAACCCGAAGTTTTGTCTATCCAAGAGCCAGGAGGGTAGCCTCTGCCGACCAGACCAGGAGAGTAGCATTTTTCAGAGCTTAACTGAATTTATCTGGTTTTTAATTTGTTTACTTGTTTTAAAAATCATATTATGGGAAATGCTGATGATTTAATAATCAAAGACCCATTTATATACTTTGGTATAAACGTAAAAATATTAGAAAACAAACTCTTGAGTGCAGAGTAATGAATTACTACACTTGTATAAGCAGTAAGAGGTCACAGGAACAGATTACCAGTACTTACAGCTCTACAGAATTTAGTTTCAAATGGTGAATATATTCTAAGTACAGTATTTTAAGGAAAGCTATGGGATAAATACATTTGTGCATAGGCTGGCTTCACTAAAAGGTCTAATGATTTTTTTTTTCTTGAGATCATAATATGAGGTGAAGCACTTTGCAATGTCAAATTTAAAATAGTTATATAAAATTTCAGTTTTATTCCCAAAACATGATTATGTAGTAGATAAATTTAAAAAATTTTCATAGTAAGGTACATCAGTAAAATATGAGTGTTACTATAACACATATCTAGACATTCTTACTAACCTGGTTCAAACTAGAAAATAACGGAATTATCTCTGTGGGAGAAAGTCATTTTTAAAGATAAGTGCTATATATTCTATAAGAATTATACATTTTAATAATTGGAGAAAGCACAGAACTAGCTATTTAGTCATTCATTTATTTATATTCCCCATGTTATTGCTCAGAGATTTGAGCTGATCTGTGTCTGGAGTACATATTTTCAGTTAACAAAATGTAAATCAAAGTAGAAAATTAAGATCAAGGAGAAGACAAATATGGAAACCAAAAGGAAATGCCAGAGTATCAGTTCAGTTTACACAGACCAGTGATTTTTCAACTCAATTACCAAACCTCTTCCTTATAGTAAATATTGTGTAACAACTACTTTACTACCCTGATATTAAATTAATAATATAACTCATCTTCATATGTACTGAAAAAAATAATGCCTTTATATAAAGGAAAACTAAAATGAAATTTTAAATTTATCTATCCTATCAATATTTTGGTGTTTTATATATATATTTAATAAATAAAATGCACATATAAATATATTGAAATATACTTTCTATTTTATAATTATTTTAATATACTTGAATATATAAATATGCTTAAGCTAAAATGAAATACATGTACATATGTTTACATCTATGTAGTACATATATACATGTATATACTACATATTTATAAATACTTTGGTAAGATTTCACTAGAAGATATAAAGAAGCAATCAGACACGTGAATCTAAATGTTGACTCACCATGAATGGGATAACTACAAAGACAGACTGATGCAGGTGTGTTATATTGGTGACTCAAATATAATGAATAAAATTCCAAACATAAAGGTTAAATTTCCCTTGGTTTAAACCTTTGCTATATTTCCGGAAAATTCTTAGAACTAGACAACGGTCACTTAGTGTCTGAGGTAGCTACTCTCTGGAGATGGCCCTCAATGCTCTTCTCCTCCCTGTATGTGCAAGCTGCTTCTCACAAAAGGCAGAGTTTCTTTGTCCTCACCTTAAGTCTGGACGGGTCTTTCCCAATAGAAAGCAGCCCAAGTGCTGTTCTGGGACTTCTAAGCCCAAACCTGAAAAGCAATAGCAGCTTTCACTTACTGCCTTTTGGAACCCAGTTACTATGTTATGAGAGCCCAAGCCATGTGAAGAGGCCACATGAAGGAGGTCTGAGGTGCTCCAACTGACAGCTCCAGATCAACTCCCACCCATGGACCAGCAGTGTGAGTGAGCCATCTTGGAGGTTCAAGCTCAGGTGAGCCCAGCTGACTGAAGCAAGAGTCAACATCACCTGGAACAGAACTACCTGGATGAGGCAGTCATCCATAGGATCTTAGGAAATAATAAACTTCTATTGTTTTAAGCCTCTAAGTTTTGGGTTGTTTACTATACAGCAGTAGGTAACTAAACCAGCATTTATATATAAAGCTGAATGAGATTCTAGGCTTAGGTTGCTATGAATAGATTTTTCATCTATTTGAAAATCTAGTGGGACATTTGAAAATGCTGCAGGAAAGAGAATGGTTCTTTATTATGAGGGACTGTCCTGTATAATGCAGGATGTTCATTATCTCTAGCCTCTGCCCGAAATGTCAGTAGGGTCCTGGTTATTATGACAACCAAAGACACTTCTACAAATTTTCAAAATGCTCTCTAGATGCTGACTCTGCTAAGAACTAACTAAAATAATTATTTGTATAGTGACTACATGATAGATACTGGAAAAGGTAGAAATGAAATACAATCCATGCCTTCAAGAGAGTCACAGTTCAACTGACAAGAAATGAATGAAATAACACAAAATGATAAACATTATGATGGAGTTGTTTTCCTGGCACTGTGGTAGTACAGAGACCTGGTAGCTAAATCAGCCTTAGGAAGGGTCAGGGTAAGTTTCCTGAAGGAGTTAATTATTGAGCCGAGTTTTGAAGTGCAGCCAGGTAGAGAAGAGGGAGAATAGAAACTCAAGCAGAGGAAACAGCTTGTGCAAAGCACAGCGTGGGGCACTAGCAGTCATAAAGGTAGTAAGATGGGCTGGGCCCTGATGGTGGTGTATTTTTTATGTCCTGCTAAAGAGTCCATTTAAACCCGAAGGCGATTTTGTAATTCTATCCAGAGATAATGTCACACGTTCACCACACCACTAATCCCAGCCTCCCTCACAGTTAGCTTGTGGCCCTGTGACTTGTTCTCAGCAAAGAATGTGGGTGGAATGGATGTAAGCCACTTCCAGGGCTGGCCCTTGATAGCAGCCCCTACGATCTTCCAATTCATTCTTTTCCTGCCTTGTGCTGGAGGCCACATGGTCCAGATGGCAAAGCTCCAAGATGAAAGAGGGCTATCTGACTTGTATCAAGTGTGTGAGGAGTAAGCTTTTACTGTCCTAATCCATCAAGTTTTGGGGAGTATCGATCAGAATTCTGTCAGAAAACAAATCACCCCAGATGGTTCAAATGAAGAGACTTTAATGAAGGAAATCCTTTCAGAGGTGTGGGCAGGGTCAGGGAAGAAACACGGGAGGCAGGAAGCTGTTTCATTCCTAGAACTGAAGGGGCAGAGAGGAAAAGAGTTATCAGAGCCCTGGGAGCTGGCGCCAAGGAGGAGGAGCCCAGCAGGAACTCTAGTCATGACGCGATACAGCCACTGCCATTAGAAGGGGGAGAGCCCGGGGGAAAAAACTATCCTGGCCTCCACTTCTCCTGTGCTTCAGTCTCCTGAGAGGGTATCCCCACTGGCCAAGCCCAATCAGAATGCAGCCTCAAGGGAGCCCAGGTCCTAGCCTCCAGGCGCAAAAGCAGGTCAGTGAAGGGAGGAGAATGGCTCTGGGGGTAGAAAGAACAAGCAGTTCACGAGGTTTGCCTGTTGGGGCAGCTAGCTTTAATTACTCTAATACAAAATCACTGACGGATTTTCAGCAGATTTTAAAAATGTTTCATTAAAAAATAATTTACATTCCATAAAATTCCACCTTTTAAAGTATAAAATTCAATAGTTTTTAGTATATTCAAAGTTGTGCAATCATCTATACTATCTAATTCTAGAACAATTTCATCACATTCCCCTCCCCCCCAAAAAAATCCCATACCCACCAGCAGTCCCTCTCCATCCCCCACTTCCCCAGCCACTGGCAAACACAAATCTACTTTCTGTTTCAATGGTTTTGCATATTCTGAATGCTACACATAAATGGAACCACACAATACGTGGCCTTTTTTGTCTGGCTTCTTTCGTTTAGCATAGTATTTTCAAGGTTCATCCATGTGGTAGCATGTATTCCTTTCTATTGCTGGATAATATTTCATTGCATATGATACAATTTTCAAAGATGACAGCTGTGTAGAGAATAGGTCGGGGTAAGCCAAAAATCAATGGCAGAGGAATGTGTATAAGTTGGGGAGTGATCCCACTCTCTAAAAACATTCTCTCAAATTATCTTCAGAGCCAGAAACAGAGAAGGTAAACAGCACTTTTCATCTCCCATCCTGAAACAGCCTTCTTTCCCTGGATTCCATTTCAATGAATGACACCACTGTCCACACAGAATTTGGGAGCGACATTAGGATCCTCCATTTCCCTCGCCCTTCACGTTAGATCACTTTTTTCCTATGGGTCTTACGTCTTGAATGATCCTCTCCCCTCCGTGCTGACTGCCTTAGTTGAGGCCCTCAGTGGGTCATGCTGAACTACAACAACTGCCTAACTAATATCCTTTGTTCCTGGTGCCCAGCTACATCTATCACCAGGAGGAGCAACCATGACAGAAGATAGATGAACGATGAATGGGGGAGGTGCCGTGCCTTATCTCACTGTTGAGTTAGGAAGCAGAAATACATAGGTGTTTATAGCTTGGCCCCTTCCTCTTTTCATCCAATTGGGAGTTAGGTGCCTTCAGGGAGCACGTGCTCTCTTCCCAACAGCATAATGAGGACTGCCCTGCCAGTTTTAAAGGGAGTGTGTGGCTAAAACTGTTAACATCTGGGGTTCAGAGAACAGAGCTTCTTTGGCTTTACGTTGAGGCCTGTCCTCTCACTTAGCCATTATTAAAATAAAGATAAATTTTTGCTTCCATTTGCTACAAACCTTTTTTACAGCTTTTTTTTCAGAACTTGAGAGAAAGGACTGCAGCAAATACTATGTTTACTGTTTTGCAGTAGCCGAATGTAAGGGGAATTGTGATCAATTATGCAACTTTTATTAATAAAAAGGAAAAGAACAGTAAAACCTGTTTCTATGAGTACTTAATTGTAAAATCAGATTTGGAACATGGCATGATGTCATGAATAATGTCATCAATATTTCAAGCAAATACAAGGACACATTTTATGTCTTCTAATCATAGTAATTGTCTTGGTTTAAGTTTCCCAGGAAACCAGCTCTGAAATAAAAGCTTGCATGCAGAAGTTTATTATGGAGTACACTAAGAAACAAAACCTGTAAAGAAATGAGGGAAGCAGGATTAGGTAAAGGGAGAAGTTGAACAGAGATCAGTTAAAAAGAGATGCTTCAGCCAAACCTACAAAGAACTCTAAAGTTGAGATGCCCTTAGCGTTGTACCCAAATTAAGGCAATTGGGCTAGACCCTGGTACCACCACAATGTTAAGTCATTTGATGCAAACTGCACCTCAGGGAGGGGACATAACATAACCATGGTCCAGGCAGCAACCCTCCGCTGACTTCTGAGCCCAATTCTCAGAGAAGAGCGCAGCTGTGAGTTGTCAGCCGCCAACACTTCTGACCACTGGGAAATAAATGACTCAATCCCGAAGGGGCAATGAATCTGGGCAAGAACCTTATAGTATCTAAGACAGTCCACCTGCAGCATTGCTCAGATTCACTTGCTTCTCTAGAGAGTTCACCCCATATCCAGGATTCTGGATAGTCTTTTTTTTTTTTTTTTTTCCTGTGGAAACCTAAAACTGGAAGATAAGTGGGGTGAGCCACAGCCCTTGTTACTGCTGGTCTCGATGCTACAACTGAAATTCATAATGACCCTCCTCCACATCTGTCCTAGACTGTCTTAACTTCAGCTAGAATCTCTGCTAGTCTAGGTGGACCACCTGGTAGGACCACCCACATACTCATCCCTGAGGTCCTAGTCACCATGCCCTTCTTGGGCCATGGGGACTGTACTTGCTCATTTAACATCAAAACTTTGTTAGGAGTACCAAGAGACACACCCATGGCTCACCTATACATACTCTTCCCTGCTCCCATGTGTAACAGCAGCCCTATCTGTTCCCGATGATAGGGGTCAGTTACTCCTGCCAGCATAGGGACTCCTTTCTTGGTCTGCTAGTCTCCTGGACCAAGGAGCCTGAAATGACTAAGAGCAACCCAAGTCCAACGGGACTCTTACTGGGCCTTCTCGTGGAAGTATTACATCTTTGGGAACCAGAAGCTCTAGAGCTACAGAGCCCAAGCAGGACAGAAAGCATATATTCTCTAAGGGGTTACTGGGAGTAGGCCCACTACTGCTTCTGCTCTGGGTTCCTGAACTCATAGATTCTATCTACTGGGGACACAGCACCATGCAATAGCTGTTAAAGTACATCAGGTGCAGCTTATGCCCCAACTTCACCTTCGAAAGACCTCACCATCATTCTATTGATATTAACAGCAGGTTCTGGGTGGCATTTTATATGATAGGATAAGTGGATCCAATGGATAGTGTATTGGTTTCCTTTTGCTGCTGTAACAAATGTACTGGGTTAAAACAAACCAAATTTATTATCTTATACTTTTGGTGGACAGAAGTCCTAAAAATCAAGGTGTCAGCTGGGCTCTATTTCTTCTTGAGGCTCTGCGGAAGGATTTGTTTCCTTTCCTTTTCCAGCTTCTAGAGGTCATAAGCATTTCTTGGCTCACAGCCCTCCTTCCACCATCAAAGCCAGCAGCATAGCATCTTCAAATTTCTTTTTCTCTCTCTTCTCTGCTTTTGCCATCACCTCTTCTCTGACTCTGCTTCCACTGACACATTTCCTTCTCTCACTGGGACTCTCTTGCTTCCCCCTTATAAGAACTCTTGTGATTCTATTAGTCCCACCTGGATAATCCAGAATGCTCTTCTCATCT